AAAAAAAAAAAAAAAAACTGGATTCAATGAAGTTCCTATGCTAATATGACTACTTTTAACTACAATTTTTTTTAAATGATTAAAAGGTACTTAAAAAATGAATCCTTCACATACACTGTTTGCTTAAAATAAGGTATGCCTGTTAATGGGTGAAGGATATTAACCAGAATTCCACTTTGACAATTTCTATCCAATCTGAAATACATGCACTGGTCCCCATAAAGCACTTTCAAAAATGATTTCCTTTCCTTATAATTCTGAGTAGTTGTTACTACGTATGAAGAATGAGAATCAGAGAAGTAAAGTAGTTTATCTAAGTCACACAATGAATTAGTTGAACTCAAATTCAAGCCCAAGTCTTCTGTTAATCTTGTGTTTTTTCCAATGTACTACAATGCCTACCAACTCAGCTAATGTAAAAATTCTATTTTCTCATTTATAGTCCAGTTTGTCTTTTTGCTATTTATCACATCATTGCCTCAAGAGCACAAAATCATCTGGAGGTCACTCATTCACACAGCATTCTCCTCCTCAAATAGTAATCACTACCAAAACAGAGGCAAGGAAAAGAAGTGGCAGAATGTTTTATATTATTTTAGGCCTGCTGCTTTGAAACACAGTAATCTTTATAACTGGCTCAGAGAATGTCAACATAATCATAAATTCTTCTGGAAACAGGGGCAAGTTCTTTCACTTGCCTTTTCCCTAAGTTACTAACAAATGCTTATGAAGAAGTCTCTTAAAGAGATAACTGTGACTAGATAGAAAAAAGCATGAAAGATAATGACTATAGAACCATTTTCAGGAAAAAATGGAAATATAGATAAGAAACCTGGGCCTAACAAGCTTTCAAAACTATTCATCTATTCTCAAGGTCTTTTTTAAAGATACTTAAGGCCTTCTGTTTTTTCTTGTGATTATATTACCATGGACACAAACACAAAACTAAAATACTCCTAAAATACTAAAGATAAATATGAAATTCAAATGGCATTCTAAGAACTTCAATAATATTCGTGCAACAGAACGAGTTACCCCCTAGAGTAAAAACATTGAACTTATACGCTCAAAACTAAGAACAGAAATACACACCACCACTATTTCTAACTCATAATTCTAACTATAACCCCCAAACACAGCCATCTTAGACTAAGCAAGTATTCTTCTTTGTACAGTAAAAGAATTTCTTTTTTTCCCAGTTTTTGGCCAGGGCTGGGTTTGAACCCACCACCTCTGACATATGGGGCCAGTGCCCTACTCCTTTGAGCCACAGGCGCTACCCCCAGTAAAAGAATTTTAGAGACAGAAAAAAATTGGAGAGATCAACTGTTCTGACCTTTAAAAACATATTAAAAAAGAAAATGTTTGGGGTCCAAAAAGTTTAAATAAATTGACTAAACTAAGCCCACACTGCTAATTAATAGCAGGACAAGAACCCAAGTCTTTTAATTATTCCGTTTATTTCTTCAATTTTAGAGGTACCCTACATATTTTTCAAGTTACCATCTTTTCCAATGCCAAGTGTAACTTCTCTGTAAATATCTGCTGGGATGTTCCTCTGCAACTCTGTGACCTTATAATGGGGAGGATTATTAAAGTAACTTCTAAAAGAATGGTTTGCATAAAATGCAGAGGAAAACAAGGAAATTCTACCCTGTTTGAATCCCTTTGGTTCAATGATATTATCACAGCAAATGTGTGTCAGCTGAGTAAAGGCACTGAAAGACCCGCATTGTAGTGATTGCCAGGCTTAAAGGTTACAGCTCTACCATTGTTTTCTACCTAGCCCCTAGTGTTTGCCTGCTCAGCAAACAGAACAAGCTTTATCTCATCTTACTCCTCCAACCTCATTTTAGAATGGCAATTTCCAGGGATAAGGATAATTCATTATTAGATTTTCAGTTTTTAATACTGAGAACCCCAATAAAAGAATGTGTGCCAAAAGAAACAGTATGCTCTATCAGTTAACAGATATATGATAAAAAGCAAGCTTCTGTTCCCTTCCCCTCCCCCAAGAGTTCAACTACACATCAACAGCCACATTCTTGCACCTGTCGATTGAGATAAACTAATGTTAACTCCTGATACACACTTAAGAATGCAAAGCAGTCTGTAAAAAGTCCTAAGCAAACTATCATAGTTGGAAAGTACTCAGAAGTTGCTAAGCCCTATATTTTAGCATGAATTCAGTACACTGCACACCACACAGGAAAACTTTCTTCTTCTTTTTTTTTTTGAGACAGAGCTTCAAGCTGTTGCCCTGGGTAGAGTACCCTGGCATCACAGCTCACAGCAACCCCCAACTCCTGGGCTTACGTGATTCTCTTGCCTCAGCCTCCCAGGTAGCTGGGACTACAGGCGCCTGCTACAATACCCGCAACACCCGGCTACTTTGTGGTTGTAGCTGTCATTGTTGCTTGGCAGGCCCAGGGTGGATTTGAACCTGCCAGCTCTGGTGTATGTGGTTGGCGCCTTAGCCACTTGAGCTACAGACACTGAGCCCAGGAAAACTTTCTTCTAAAGTTGTGTCTCTGGCATTAGTTCTGCTCAGTTCTCCTCTATTTAAGCAAAAATTGGTTATCTTAATTTATCAGGTGACGAAAGAGGCTAGCTGACATATTATAGTGATCAAATTCAAATATGTACCCAAATAGTCTCTCCATTTTTTATCTTTTATGGAACCTAATTTTTAATATGTTAAATTTGGGACAGTTTCATTTCCTAAGCAGTCTTTCAACTTTTACCAAACTTTAACTTCAATGAAGTTATTAAAAACAAAAGTCTATAACAGGGAAATCCCTTTAAATTAAGAAGAGATAATGAGAGCTGAGACCCAAAAAAACTACTCAAAACTTTGAAGAAGGATATTAGAATGAGTTTATCTAATGTCAATACTCTACTGCTGACCCAACACAGTGACTCACACCCATTCCCCCAGAACTTTCAGATGCCAAGGGAAGAGGATCACTTAAGACCAGGAACTGGAGATCAGCCAGGGCAACATAGCAAGATCCCAACTCTATGGGAAAAAATAAATAATAATACTCTACTGCTAATACTTACGTACATGAGAAACTAAAACCCAAATGCATGGAACAACACAACAGTCATCATTTAATCACAGCACATTCTTAAAATGGAAAAACTATGCAGAGGTTAAAAAGAATAAAACAGATCCACATGAAGTGATATGGAAAGAAAGCTAAGACGCTACTAAATGAAAAGACAAAAGGTGTATGATAGCATGATCAACATGTTTGGAGACATTTATGATGTACATTTTATATATACTTTCAAACCCAGGGACTATCTGGAAAGTTATACAGATAAGAGGTAACAGTGGTTTCTTCCAAGTGAGGTGGAGTGAGAAACACAGAACTAGAGGCTAGACATCAGGTGCACAATTTACTTTATCCTAACATATACCTTTTGAACTATTTTAATTTCTCCCAGGTATATAGTATTATCTTTCTAAAAAATTTTAAGGTGGGCTTGGTGCCTGTAGCTCAGCGGCTAGGGCACCAGCCACATACACTGGAGCTGGTGGGTTCAAATCCAGCCCAGGCCTGCCAAACAAGAACTACAACCAAAAAATCGCTGGGCATTGTGGCAGGTGCCTGTAGTCCTAGCTACTTGGGAGGCTAAGGCAAGAGATTAGCTTGAGCCCAACAGTTTGAGGTTGCTGTGAGCTGTGATGCCACAGCACTTGGGGCGAAATAGTGAGACTGTCTCAAAAAAATAAATAAATAAAATTCTAAAGTGATTAAAGAACCCCATGATGATTTATAATTTAACTACTTTCTTAAGGTACTATAATCATAGGATTAGAAAGTGCCTCTAGAGAGCTAATCCTCAGTCCCAGGCAGGTCTGTACCTACACCATTCCACAGAGATTTCTTCTTTGTTAAAGATACTAAATAACTGAGTAAAATTCATGTTCTGCCTTGACCACTGTAATTCTGGATTCAAATATAAGGAAAGTGAATTCAGAGGTATGAGGTAATTTTATAAAAGCTGCCCCATTTAATTTCACCCAATCTAACTGGGCAGTCTTTCAAAAATCCTATCAATCCACTCCCATCAAGCTTTCCATTGAGAAGTCATCTCTTTGTATCTCTACATTAAATGATACAATAAACTGTCTAATTTGATGGGCAATTCCAATGTTCACCAAATTAAAACAGCACGTTGTAATATAAATGCATAATAAAAAAATTCCAGATAGAAGGAAACAAAAACTAAAAGCAAACATCTGAGGAACAAGTAAGCATATATTGACTGCATTACTTTTCTTATTTATTTTTTTAG